CAGCCATACATATTGCTAAGAACCCTGTATTTCATGAACGTACGAAGCATATTGAAGTGGACTGCCACTTTGTGAGATCAAAACTCCAAGAAGGGCTTATTACACTGCATCACATTGATACTACTGCTCAGTTAGCAGATGTCCTTACCAAAGCACTTACTGGGATTAAACACTCTACACTTCTGGACAAATTGGTTTCGATCCACTCTGCTCCAATTTGAGGGGGGGGGGTATTGAGATTAAATTAGTAAGAATATTATGCTTAATTAATCAGGTTGTTAGAATAATTAATTAGCTGTCACAATCAGTTAGTTAGTTAGTTTTCATTTTCAGAAAGTTAGTTAGACATTTTCTGTTTTAGTTGTTATATAAACACTATACATCCATGTTTCTGTACTCAATGAAAATAGCACACATTTTTTTCAATGCTCTTCTCTGATCAAGCTTTCATATTCTCATCAATGGAGTTTTTCAATCATCTTCAACATTAACAGTAATGAATAAAATTTTTGAGGCTAAATGCAGGAAGCTATTAGTTGATAATCTAACAAGAAACCAAGCAATTGGATAACAAATTTAGTAATCAGATTAGTAGAAGCTATTTATTGATAGAGATGAAGGACATTATAACATAGATTATATATGATATACAAAACAATGAAATAAAGGCGACTTCAATTAAAGAGGAGAAGCAAATTATAGTAAGTTTAATTTGAATTAGCTTCTAATGCAGACATTTGTTCTTGTTTCAAACTCACCAGTACTTCATTTCCATCCTCATTTTGGCTGTCCATCAAGAATATTTTCTTATTGATTGGTACACTTCCTAAACACACTCTTCTAGGACCATCCCATCCATAGTCCATCTCACTGATATGGAATTTACTCAAACTTGTACACATCAACATCATCATCATCCCTTTCAACACATTAACTTTCTCAAGAATTGTAGAGATATGATTGTATTGTTTTGGGAAGAACATGCCAAATGACATGTAAGAACATGGATTAAGTTGATCAAATATGGAAAGCTTTTGAATTCTATGAATCAATGGGGTTGGAGATGATGGTTTAATGATTTTTGTGGAAATCAAATCAAGTCGTGGGTGAAGCCATTTTTCTTTAGGAAAAGAGACTTATCTACCTTTTGTGCCCTCTACAGTAGACCTTGAGGTGCTTTTCTATATGTGGTTTATGGACCAACTAATTAATTAAGGGGTAGGTAGTTTAAACGTGAGTTATGCAAGTATTATATCACGTTTGATAGTGAAAAAAAAGGTCCTTTATCTTTGAATTAAAAATCAAAGTAATCCTTATGTTTTAACACGAAGCACTAATCATATATTATTATAAGTGGAAAGAAAGTTTTAAAGTGAGAAGTTGAATTATCATTGTGCCCTTGTACTAAATTAAATTTGATTAATTATTTAAATTTAATTAGTTAATTTAAATATCAAATTGTATCTTTGAGAGTTATACATTAAGCAATATTAAATTTATCGAAATCTTTCATTACAACTTATTTATATTGATAGTGAATTAATATTAAATTGTTATAAACAATTATTATCAAGAAAAATCAATTCAACAATTTCAAATTATTATCAAGAAGACAAAAAGACTCTTAATTATATTGTTCAATGAATTAAAGGTAAAGACTAAAGGTTACATAATTAAGTATGAAACTAATATGTCTGTTTTATTTTTTTCCTTTCATCTCCCCTCATCTATGATTAAACTATTTAAAGCCACCTAGAAATGAAAATTAATTTACAAAACTCATATATGATCTTCTTACTAAAATATGTTAATGTCAATTATTAATATCCATTTTCTCATTTTTTGTATATCATCTCTTTCTTCCTTTTTTTTAATTTCGTTTCTGGTCATAGTCATAGACTGCAGAAGAAAAGTTGTCATCAATCTTTGTAGAATTGTTAAGGGCAATAACATTATTGTTGTACTCGAATCGAAGACATTATGAATGATTGATAGATTAATGGTAAAGAATGTTCGAAAGAAAATAATATTTTTTTATCACGTTGTATGAATTATAACAAAATAATTAATAGATTTTACTTATTTAGATTTTATATAATTAATATTAGCATAGAACATGTACAAATTATACTTCTTATTTCCAAAAGAAATTAAAAATTGTCTTAATGATATTAGATATCTTATTATATGCCAAATTATTTGTGTTTTACATGGATAATTTGAAATATTTGACAATTATGTTGAATGACTATTCATACATTTATATTTAGTTCATTAACATTAGCTCCTTTAAATATCATATATTTATAAAAGTGGAGAAAAAAAAGGTGAAATTCCAAATATCAAAATAGCCCTATAAAGTACAATTACTACAATAATACCATTAATATATATTAAATTAAATTATATTGCTATTGTTATTTATTACTAATTATTATTGCAAACAATTTTAATGTTACATTCTTTATTTATGGGCTCCATAGTGATAATTGTTTGTTCACTTTACCAATTGAATTTCTATCAGGAGTTTACTTAAAATAAATTAGTAGAGATAAAAAAAAATTGTTTGTGGAGCATATCAATTGTTTTGCAAATAATGAATATGATGTGTTGAAAGTTTATTAAAGAAGAATTTTTATTTTCAATTTTTTTAAAGAAAAATACTTCATTAAAGTATAACTTCTTTCTTTCGGTTACATATTCAACCATTAAGTTGTTCATTTTTTTTTAAAAAAAAATTTATCATAAATTGGATCTTATAATAAATTGAGTTTTTTCTACTACCCTTAACATGTCAGTATAAACAAGTTCTTTCTACTATTTTATTTGCTAAAAATGTTTACAATTTCATGAGTTTCCGTTTTCATCATTTTCAGTTCAGGTACTTTTTATTCCCCCTCTTTTCTTACTTTTAAAACACTAATTTGTTTGAGTCAAAAAAATATTTTGTAACTTCTAACCACATTCATGTTGCTATTCAATATATGTATTGATTTGAAAGATTTACTAACATTAGCTTATGAATTACACTTATGTTTACTTTTTATGTATGTTTAGTTTTTTAATTAATGACATATAGCAAATCCAATAATATATGAACCATCTACAATTTATTGGTTGTAGTGCAAAGTTTATATTAAGTAGTTTAAAATAAACGCGCAATGCACGTTTGCAAAACTAGTAATTTTAAATATCATTGAGACAATTGATCGAGCACCTTCTGTGCAAGAAACTTCCTTGCACATATAGAAGACACCAATATGCATAGCACCCTCCTCAAATTTAAACAATCGCTATATAAGACATTGAAGAAGACTTGATGACGATAAAAATTATGTGGCATTCATATGAGTCTTTTGACTTTGAAGACGTAACAGAATATATTCTTCGAAAACAAAAATGTAATCGAATAAGTTTTACTTCTCAAAATATGAGTCTTTTGATTATGATTTTATTTGATTCATAGAGGAATCGTAGGTCAAATTATGGATGGCTACTATTAAAGGGAAGATTTGGTTAGCTACGGTGGAAACTTGCAAAATAGAAGTCTGTTAAAAGTTCGACGGATGTTTCCAAATATATGTACTCTTCGTTTTAAAAAGATTGATCTAGTTTGACTTGAAACGAAAAAAATAAAAATATATTTTAATATTGTGGTTTCAAATTAAAGTTATGTTAAATGTAACAAAATATCTTTTAATCTTGTGCTCTTATACATGTCACGTGAAAAATTAAAATTAAAGTATTGTCAAAAAAGAAAAGGAATCATTCTTTTTTGAAACAAAATAAAAAGAAAATAGAGTCATTCTTTTTTAAACGGAGAGAAGATTAACTATTGAAACATAGAAGACTATTAGTGCTCTATGTTGAAACACAAGAATGTACTCTGACTCTTAATTCAGAGTAAAAGGACGACTTTGATCCTTTCCTATGTGGTAGTAGATTAATTAGGAGGTAAAATATTCATGAATAAAATTAATATGATGTTTGATTTTCAATTTAGAAATCTGTATAAATTAATATACATATAAATTATGAAAGACTCTATGTATTACTATTTCATCTATCTTATTAATGATAGAAGGTAGAATACTTGTATAACTCTAACCAACTATCAAACGATCCTTAAGACACGTATTGTTTGCACTTTGGTTGCTATATAGAAGAAATATTATGCATAATACACATAATATCATATTTGATAGTTGGTTAGGACTATGTTTAAAATTCAAAATGATGTTTTATTCATATTTCAAAAACATGCATAGCTTCATATGTCCCGTTTTATGTCACACTTTTTTTTTAGTCCGTCTCAAAAAGAATGTCAGCTTAGAAATAATTCTTGTATAATTTACATAAATTCATTGTGTAAAGAGTAAATTACATTTTGTTTCTGCTTTTTTTTTTCTCTAATTACAATGATCCCTATAATTTTATATCTTCCACAAAAAATTAAAGAGTATTTCAGATACATTGTAACATAAATTGAATACATTAAAAACTAGCATGGATACATTATAAAATAAATCGAATACATTAATATGTAGTTCGGATACATCTAGTTCTGATATATTTAATACATTAGGAGAGAAATAAGAGATTTTAGAAATAGAAAGGGATATTGGAAATAAGGAAAATACCTTTTTACTCTTTATAAAATACCTTTTTACTTTTAATAAAATGATTTTCAACCACATAAATATATATATGTATTGTTTTAAATCACAAATTTGAAAAATCTATTTTTTTTAAACACAATACGAAGTTAAACATATCACGCAAAATGAAATGGAGAAAATACATGTATAACTAAATCTTGCCTAACTAGTTACTGCATCAAATAATACATCATACCTAACTCTAGCCACCTAACTAGATAGAATTAATTATTTAGATCTCTATGAGCGGATATTCGGTATATGTCATGCAATTAGCGGCTAATTAGGTATCCTAATTAGTAAAGTTAATCTAATTAATTTGGCAAACCTATTTTTGATAACTCATTGATGAAACTGGAACTGCTAACATTTTAATTTTTGTTGGCTATGCTACCGGCGAAATTGATTGTCCAATTAATGTAACAGTAAATTGAATGGTCGTCTTAGTATAAAAAAGAGCGATGAATTTAACTTTGTTGATACAAAACATATTTGCATAGCTTCTCCATGACTACATTGTTAACAAGCTCAAATGTTGCATTGAGGTCCTTTAATGACCTCAACCGATTAGTCCAATTACACCCTCGCACTCAAAGGGTCCAGCTGAGGTGCAAACTTGCTGGTGACATCGAAACAGATGAGTCCCGAATATTACTGGAGGGTGTTGTTACAAGTTCCGCTAATTATGTCCCATTGACACCAATAAGTTTCTTGGAGAGAGCAGCAGATGTTTTTGGCGATAGAACTTCGGTTGTGTTTGGGTCTAGTGTGAAGTATACATGGGAAGAGACACATTCTAGGTGTCTAAAACTTGCTTCTGCTTTGGTTCAGCTGGGGATTTCAAGGGGAGATGTGGTAAGATTTCAGTTTTTTTCATTCATTTTGTTCAAATTCAAGATTTATTGTAAAATAAATTTGAACAATAACTATTGCAGGTTGCAGCTTTGGCTCCGAATGTACCAGCAATGCAGGAGCTGCATTTTGCAGTACCAATGGCGGAAGCAGTTCTCTGCACATTAAATACTCGTCTTGATTCATCAATGGTTGCTCATTTGCTGAAACATTCAGAAGCCAAGATAATATTTGTTGATCAACAATTGCTCCAAGTTGCTCAACAAGCACTCACTCTTCTTTCAAAACACAAAATTATTCTTGTGCTAATACCTGAATATGAGAATTCCTCTTTGACATATGACATTCACGAATACGAAAAACTTCTGTCAAGTGGGAGTAGCAATTTTACAATAAGATGGCCAAAAAGTGAATTTGATCCTATCAGTATCAATTATACTTCCGGTACAACATCCTCGCCCAAAGGGGTCGTGTACAATCACAGAGGCGCATATCTCAATTCAATTTCTACTTTCCTATGTCATGGCATGGCTCCGATGCCAACGTACCTTTGGACACTTCCAATGTTTCACTGCAATGGATGGTGCATGAATTGGGGAGTGGCTGCACTTGGTGGCACAAATGTTTGCCTTAGACATGTCTCAGCGAAAGATATATTTGAAAGTATTTCTGTCAACAAGGTCACACATATGAGTGCAGCACCAATTGTCTTGAGTATGATGGCAAATGCTTCACCAAATGACAGGAAACCACTTCCCCATAAGGTCGATATACGGGTAGGCGGTTCACCACCGCCTCCACAAATTATTTCCAAAATGGAACAACTCGGATTTGGAGTATCCCATGGATATGGACTAACAGAAACTTATAGTGCTGCTACGAGTTGCTTGTGGAAGCCTGAGTGGGATTCTTTGCCCCTTGAGGAACGAGCTGCGCTTAAATCAAGACAAGGGGTACAAGTTCTTTGTATGGAAAAAGTTGACGTTAGAGACCCGGAGACCATGGAAAATGTGCCAGCTGATGGAAAGAGCATTGGTGAGATTGTGTGCAGAGGAAATACTGTGATGAGTGGATATTTGAAAGATGTTAAAGCAACTGAAGAAGCTTTTAAAGGCGGATGGTTTCATACTGGTGATGTTGCAGTGAAACATCCAGATGGATATATAGAAATTAAGGATCGGCTGAAAGATATTATAATATCTGGAGGTGAAAACATAAGCACACTCGAAGTGGAAGGAGTATTACATAGTCATCCTGCAGTTGTTGAGGCAGCAGTAGTCGCACGACCAGATGATCATTGGGGACAAACACCTTGTGCATTTGTAAAGCTGAAAGAAGGATCTGAAGAAATAACTTCAGATGAAATAATTAAATATTGTAGAGATCATTTACCACATTACATGGCACCTCGAACAGTCTTATTTGAAGATTTACCAAGAACTTCAACTGGCAAAGTACAAAAAATCATCTTGAGAGAGAAAGCAAAAGCTTTGGGCAGTCTTTTCAGCACTGAAAGAAATGTGTAATAAGTACTACTTTTTTGTTCATTCAGTACTGGTATAGCTGTTTCAACCATAAAAAGAAAATATAATATCATTAATAACAGATAATATTAAATAAATAGTATTAAATAATATTAGTATTTATTGTGTACTAATCCTAGTCCTATTAGGATTAGTACTCCTTAATCCTAGTCCTATTAGGATTAGTACTCCTTCCTATATCTCCTATATATATCTCCCATGTATTCTCTTATTAGGTTAACACTTTAATACAATCAATATTCCTTCATGGTATCAAGAGCCAGAAAACCTAGATCTTCTTTTCTCTAGGTTTTTTTTCTCTTTAGGGCACCGATCGTTCCCTCTATTCTCTTGGGCGGCGGCAGCCATGACAACCAAGATGGATCCTCTCGATTCACTTCCTTCTGGCGTTAAACTCCTTCTCAGGCATCTTCATGCCCTGATTCCCAAAAAATTATCAGACATAAATTACCCTACATGGAAAATCACCGTTCGTACAGCCCTTGAGGCCAATTACCTTCTCAAATACGTCGATGGAAGCACAGAACTGCCGCCGGCAGTCATCACCGCCACAGACAAATAAGAAAAAACCAATCCGGCCCATGCCGCCTGGAAAGCCGTGGATGGACAGATCCGATCATGTTTGATTGCAGTCATCTCTCTCACGGTTCAGAAACACGTCCGATCCTACACAACTGCTTCAGCCCTGTGGACTGCTCTCGCAACACGCTATGCATCAATTTCTCACTCTCATATTTTTCAATTGCGTGACGTCTCCACACAATTACCAAAGGCACGAAAACTATGGCGGAGTATTTAGACGAGGTCTCCACCATCATCACAGCCCTCGACACCGTGAACGAAATCATTCCCGAAAAAGATCTCGTCATGTGCGTCGTTCGGGGGCTCCCATCAGCTTACTCCTCCATTAAACAGGCGGTTCGCATCAGTCCAACGCCCGTTGACCTGGCTACTCTATCCCCGTGGCTAAAAAGTGAAGAAATCAACGTGGATCTGGAGAGCAAACTTCTTCTCCGAGAAGCCACTGTTATGGAGCCGGCTACCGCCCTCACCGCAAGCCAGAACTATCGCGGGGGGCATGGTGGAGGCCGGCAGGGCAGTCGCGGCGGGTACGGCAGAAACAGCTGAGGCCGCGGGCGCGGCGGTCAGCAGGGCAGTCGTCTGCCATACGACGGTCAGCAGCACGGCAGCAACAACAACCTGCACTCCTTCGGCAGCGGCGAGCAGTCATCTTCCAGCGTCGGGCAGGGCACTTACAAGCGGGATCGTCCAACTTGTCAAATCTGTCAGAAAACAGGACACATCGCTGTTCGTTGCTGGTTTCGGTATGAGGAGAGCCGCAATAGTGATAACCGTGTCAATTATGCATCTCAAGCTAGCCCTTCCTCTGAATGGCTGTTGGATACTGGGGCCAACATGCACGTTACTTCTGATCTATCCAAGCTTAACACTCCAAATCCATATCATGGCTCCAATGGTATTAGTGTTGGCAACGGTGAGTCCCTTAATATTTCTCACACTGGCACGGGTACCATTAAAACCCCTACCGCTATCTTTCACCTAGGTAACCTTACCCACGTCCCTTCTATTAAAACCAATCTCCTTTCAGTTCACCAATTCACAAAAGACAATAATTGCTCACTCTTGTTCACCTCTAATGATTTTCAGATCCTAGAAAATACTACCAAGGGGGTGATTTTTCATGGCCCCTGTGAGCATGGTCTGTACGTTCTTCCTGGCACATGTTCGTCTGCCCACCCAGTTTCAGAAAGCGTTCCTGTGGCTCCGGTGGATCTTTCAGCTGATGGCCACAGT